GCGGTGCTGCGAAGACAAAGAATGAGTACCTTCTTGGCAATGCCCCGTCGACAAGCGTGTGCTCGGCGACACCACAGAGGAAGAGGACGACCTCAAGGTGTGCGTGTATGTGTCTGTGTATGTGTGTGTGTGTGTGTGTGCGTGTGTGTGTGTGTGTGCACGAACGTGTGGTGTGCATGTACACATATGTGAAAATAGTGCATCTTGTGCGTGTTCTGTTGCATGTTGCTTGCTGTTGTGAACTGACAGAGCCCCCACGCCCCCCCCCACACACACGCTCACTCAAATGCATCTGCAGCTGGGCACGGCGGCGGGAGCGACGCTGCGGGAAAAGGAGGAGCAGGACCCCGCCGAGCGCCTGCGGGACATGCAGGCGAAGGTGCGGGAGGACCCGATGTTCATGATGAAGAAGCGGCAGCAGGAGCGCCTGCGCGAGCTCCGCAGCAATCCCGTGCGCATGCGGGAGCTGCGAAAGGCCCTGGAGAAGGACACGGGCAAGCACGACAAGAAGAAGCACAAGAAGAAGAAGCACAAGAAGGACAAGAAACACAAGAAGGACAGGAAGGACAAGGAAGGAGACAGGGCCGGCAGCGAGCGCGTCAAGGGCTGGGACCAGCACGACAGCAGCGACAGCGGTGACAACGGTCGTGGCGTTGAGAGCAGGCACAGGGGCGGTGGTGGCTCGGTGCACGACAGACGTCAGCATGCCGATGCTGACGATGTTGCAGTGAGGAGAAGGACGAGTGGCCGCAGACACGGCTATGACGCCGCCGCTGGTGGTGACAGCATTGGCGGGATGCAGAGGAGAAGGGGAAGTGAGCGCAGCGAGAGGTACGATGGCCGCAGTGCTGATGACGGCGACAGGCGGCGTTCTGATGGCCGGCACCGGAACCAGGTCACGTTCCCGCTCGCCCGTGCAACCACGTCGCCATCATCATCGCGGTGGTCGTCCGTGCCATTGATGGTGGTGGTGAGGGTGTGGCTGCAGGTGGCAGGGTGGCGGAGACAAGCAGGCGGCCGCGGCGACGTCGGTGGGACACAGACAGCAGCATCAGCAGCAGCACTCGCGGTGGTGATCGTCATGGTGATGATGTGAGGGGGGATGAAGGTGAGAGAAGGAGAGACAGGGGTGGTGACGGTCGTGGCGGTCGTGGCGTGAACAATGATGATGAAGAGGCTGACAGGCGGCGGCTGGAGGCGATGGTGGCGAATGCCAGGTGGCGCGAAGGGGTGCGGCGGGAGAACCTGCGCAAGTACGAGGAAGAGGAGAAGCGCGAGGCCGAGGAGGAGGAGAAGGCAGCGGCAGCGCGGCGCAGGCGCGATCAGGATGGCGCCGACACAGAGGCAGCGTTCCTCAAGTCAGTTTGTGTGTGTGTGTGTGTGGAGGGGGGGGGGGGGGAAGACGCACATGTGCGTGTTTGCACGTCATCTGGTCACCACAACACATTCTTTGTTTCATCCACTTGCTTGCTCGCAATGAAAATGATGGCATCTCCCTCACCTTTCCTCCTCCCGTGCCCGTGCACCTGTTCATGCAGGGACGTGCAAGCGGAAGCGTGGCGGTCCAGCAGCACGGCGAGTTTGGCGGACCGTGTGCGAAGGAACGTGCACTCCAGCAGCACGGCGAGTTTGGCGGACCGTGTGCGAAGGAACGTGCACTACATCCAGCGCACGGCACATGCCATGGAGCAAGGCCTCAAGCGCTCATGACGACGTTGTGTGTGCATGACGACGTTGTGTGTGCATGACGACGTTGTGTGTATGTATGTGTGTGCATGTGTGTGCATGATTGCGTGCAACATGCCTTGCCACCCATGAGCCCTGTTGTGTGCACACCACGGTTTGTTTCGTGTGTAGGACAGTTTAACGCGTGGAAGACTGCATCTGCGTACATGCATTGGAGAGAAACGCATTATTGGTGGAAGAGAATGACATAAACAACCCTGTTCATCGATGCATCTGATTCGGTGAGGCAGGGAAGGAAGCGATGCAGCACACACGCACACACGTAAGCACAGCGAGGCAACCGAAAGACAACACAGAGCAAAACACAAAGCAGCAAGCAACAAAGAAGCAGCAAGCAATCCAAAGCAAGAAAAAGCGGGAGGCAAAAGCAAAAAGAACAGATGCTCTCCAACAGGGAATCGAACCCTGGTCTTCCGCGTGACAGGCGGAGATACTAGCCACTATACTATTGGAGACAACCTTGCTTGGTGTGAGAAGGAAATTTTGCTCTGTTCAAAACAACTTGCTCATGCTGCAAAGCAACAACAAGAAGCAACAAGCAAAGCACACTTCTTCTCTTCCGTGCTTGCTTTCTAGCTTCCTTGTTGGTTGCCTGGTTGGATCGACGCATCCACCCAAGCAGATCGAACAGATCGAACGGACTGCACAGACAGCCACTCGGGCAGGCACGCCTTTGCAGAGCAAGCAGCCACAGAGAGAGAGAGAGAGAGAGAGAGACACACCCACAGACCAAACGAACATCCACAGCAATAATTTGGCTGTGTGCACGCACACAAGTTCGCAAAGTGCCGCGTTGTCACATGTCACATCACATCGCGTTACATTACTTCCTTCGCAGCAGCAGCAGCAACGACAGCACCGCAAACGCAAACGGTTGCGTGCGGTGGTGGATCTGGACGCAGCCAAAGTGCTGCAACCACTCCTTCATCTGCCAGCAACACACAGACACACACACACACACACACAGACACAGACACACACACACACACACACAGACACACACAGACAGACACACACACACACACAGACACACACACACACACAGACACATTGACAGCATGGGTGGCATTGCAGCCAAGCTCGGGTATACACAGCCAGAGGTGAAGGTGGTCATGCTGGGGCTGGATGCAGCGGGAAAGACATCGCTGCTGTATCGCATGAAGCTGAATGAGAACGTCACACCCATCCCCACAATCGGCTTCAACGTCGAATCCATTCCAAACGACACTGTCGAGCTCACTCTCTGGGATGTCGGCCTTCGATCAGCGGTGCGAACTCTGTGTGTGTGTGTGTGTGTGTGTTTTTGGTTGGTTGACTGTACATAGACACCCGCGCAAGCACTGTTGCGCTGCGCGTGCACATGTCAGCTCTGCTGCCAACGTTGTTCCTGTCCTGATTGCACGCTTGCTGGTGTTTGGTTGGCTTGTCACATCGCTCATGCTGCGCCACCATGCTGCGCCCCGGCATTGTTGCGTGTGATCCTTGGCGCAGGCGCGGAAGATGGCCCACCTGTACATAGCGACGACGGATGCGTTGGTGTTTGTGGTGGACGCGACAGACCGCGAGCGACTTGATGAGGCCGTGGAGATGCTGGTGGATGAGTGCTTGCCCTCCCTGAACACACAGGCGCCCATCCTTGTTCTTGCCAACAAGCAGGACATCAAGGGCGCCCTCTCACCAGGTGTATGTGTGTTGTGTTGTATTGTATTGTGTTGTATTGTGTTGTGTTGTGTTGTGTTGTGTTGTGTGTTGCGTTGTGTG